GCGACTACACAAAAGGCCACACCATCTTGGTCTTCATATCCTTCTTTTAGTTTATTTTTGATCCTTAGCTACATATAACTTTTTTATTCCTCCTTACTAGCATAGGACTGTTGCTTTGTTACACGTCGGTGCTTCCAATCTTTGTCTGATACTTCAAAAGAGAACGTTGACTACATAGATAACACAAACCAGGCGCTCCTTAATAGAGAAAGAGAAAGAAGGCCTGGAAAGCCCCGAAACCCTTTTCCTTATTTGAGACACGAGATCTTTAATTCGAGCTCTGATGAGAGCTGGGCAATGGAGTCTGCAATCGAAGACTGGCTGAATGTGGTTTATAAGGCCGTTTAGCTGTAATTGGAACAGCTGATCTTGAAAACATTGATTGTGAAAGAGCACTGCTAGCATGAAGTATGAAGCCAGCAAAAAAAGAAGCACTTCTTTGATCACATAATTTTCCTAGTGTCACCATCAGTGTATAACAACTCAGATCAGAGCTAAGAAATCACTATATGATAAATATGTATTTAAAATTGTGTCTTTGGTTAACGCCAAAGAGCTTTCGAGGGTAAGATCAACGCTTTTATCCTAAATTTAGCCACGATATTGAAGAAAAATCTATATTTGTATCACTATCATACTTATCTTCTTATTTAACTTGCAATCACTCATTCTATATGTTCTTAAGTTTCGATTTTAATCACCATTTTTAAATTGCTTTTTTTCTTTATTAATCGTGTCAAAGCTGATATAAACCTAACTCGTATGATCATATATTGCATAAAAATTAGTATCAATTTGACTCCTGATGATTATTCTTATGGACAAGTGTTTGGTGGACAATTTTGGAATTAACCTGAGCAACATCTTGTATAATTTAATATATCTTTCTCCCCTTTCGTTTTCAGGTAATCACTTTTATAGATCTAGCTGGTCATGAGCGCTATTTGAAAACAACAGTGTTTGGAATGACTGGCTACGCTCCTGACTTTGCTATGCTTATGGTTGGCGCTAATTCTGGAGTAATAGGAATGACGAAGGAGCATCTCGGCTTAGCGTTGGCACTTGGAGTGCCAGTTTTTGTTGTGATAGCGAAGATCGACATGTGTCCTCCAAATATACTTCAGGAGACAACCAACTTGCTTCTTAGGATACTAAAGTCGCCTGGATGTCGCAAGATTCCGGTCATGGTCACAACTCGGTATCTGAACTTTGCTTATTTTCATTTTGGTATCTTTTATACATGAATATGTTCATATGCGTCTGTGTATTCTTCCAATAAGTAGATAAAATTGTTTTACCAGTTGCCCCTCTCCTTACCATCAGCGATAAATTTACTACATGCATATACCTCATTTTTAGTAGTCTTCACATCCATTCGTAATTTATCCCTCGGATGCTAAATAGATTTAAAAGATTTATGCAAGATAATACTACTTTTGAATTCTTACTCCGAAGTCTAGTGCGACTTCATTAGTTGGCTTACATCATTGCTATTAGAATAATCTTGTACCTTTTCTTCACTGAACGAACACAGCAATCATTGACTACTGTCGAACATTTTTTGGTTTCTGGAAGGCACGTGTGCTCTGGCATACACTTGATTATCTATCTTGGCATTTTTCCTTGTCGAGATTACTCCACGCTGTAGCCTCCTTTTTAAATACGCTTTTGCTCAAGGATGGGAGTCTTGCCTTGATTTGGTATTTCCTGGGGCAAGTCTGACACGCTACATCCGACGTTTTCCTTTGTGGTTATTTAGAAGTATAAGTTTGCAAGTTTGGTTTTTGAATATTGATTAACTCACTAAGACTTAATGGGCTTCTTTTTATGCGTTTTGCAGTTGGCCAGGATTCATGATCACTAAGGAGAGTAAACTCCTGAATCAGATTTACGCTTATTTCACATAGGTCAGCTCATATCAAGTCTTTTCATCATATTCTTAGTTTTTGGCAAGACCTCCTACTCCTAAATTTCATGATCTGTGTCAGAGTACCTTCAGCTAATGTAACAAAATTGCCTGAGTCTTTTTTCTCTAGTGATTACTTATCGCTGTAAGCCTCGAATCTATTTGATTTATTGGTTATGCTAAGTAGAGCCCTCATATCCTTAATCTTCTAGTCTCTTGAGAATCATATTATTAAATGCCTCTAAAGCCGTAAAAGAGCCTTATCCATAAAATTATTTTCTAAATGAGGATATTGATTTGAAGACTCAAGTTAAGCTTAAGTTGACTGCTAAAGCAATGCTGTTTTTAATTTCGGTTAAGGAGGTTAAGGATTGATTGACTTATAGTTTTTGTTGTAGAATTGTGCGAATAAGTTCTTGGCGCACCGTCCCGCGACCCCGATGAATACATGTTAATCTTTCCTCTGTCACGTGAGAGACATCCCACCTACCTCTTATAGCCCAGCTATTCACTTTTCGAGACATCTCATGATTTGCTTGGCCTTCATATGCTTAGCCTATATGCTTTCGAAATAGTCAAAAGGCTGCAGATGACTCGTAAAGTGGATTAACTCGTGACTGAACGGCTGCATCCTTCCCCAACTCATATTTTTGATCTTGCTATGATGATGAATTTAATTGCGTATACTTGCACATTTTTGCTTTGCGGTGTTTATTGTGAGGATAAGTTACGAATCCATTCCAAACGAAAGAAAAGGTACAGCAGCGTTAATCTATTAATAGGTTCTTCGAAACCCACATTTTTCTTTATGTGTTTAAGCATTCTTTGTTAACTCATCAGACGTGATTTATCTTGTTAATTCTCTCTTAAGAATTCCACTGTTTGTCATAAAATGTATATTTCATCGTAGGAATTTTTAAAAATATTTTGCTATTTTTCTTTTTCAAAACCATTTTAAGGGACTTTGGAGTATTCGATGAGACGAAAGTATGACTCATCTTCACTTTCATGTATTTATGAGTTAGTCAGGTTTTGTGCGACACATGGGATGATTGTTAAATGGCGAAAAATAAGGGTTAGTTCCGCTACACTAAATTTACTGTAAGTAGAAGGCTTTGAAATGATGCTGCATACTCTTTTTATGAGGTGACATCATTAATAGAGCGAAACGAAATGTTTCACTCATTATGACATGACTTTCCATTACGAAGGAAAAGAGGATTGCCATGTAAGGAGGACTGCTGAATTGTACGAAGAAGTTGTCGGTTCACCGTCTTGCGACTATGCTAAGCTTTCATCTGTACTGTCACAGACACCATCAGAGCAGATATCCATACCTCACGAACTACAGCAAAAATATACTAAACCAAGATAAAAGGTGGCTTGAGGTAACCCTATGCGCTTTTTTATACACCAAACTTCGCGATCTTGCTGAGGCATCTTATAGCAACCAAAAGTGGATCTGTTTGCCCTCATCAAAACTTAGCCAACAATTGCGACCTTTATTAAGAAA